AGATAGATAGATAGATAGATAGATAGATAGATAGATAGATAGATAGAGGGCACAGGGTGAGTTGAAAATGAAAGGGTCATATCTGGAGAATAAAATTAAGGGGTGAGAAAGGATTATACTAGGAGAAGGAGAAAGGGAAAGGTAGAACGGGGTAAATTATCTCACACAAAAAAAAAACCAGAAAAGAAAAGGCTCTTACAGTGGAGGGGAAATGGGGGAAGGTGAGAGGGAATGAGTGAATCTTATTCTCATAGGATTTGACTTAAGGAGGGAATAACATACACACTCAATTGGGTGTGGAAATCTGTCTTACCCTACAGGAAAATAGGAGCGGAAGGGGACAAGGGAGTAGGGGGATGATAGAAAGGAGGGCAGATTGGGAAAGGGGGTAATCAGAAGTAAATACTTCTGAGGAGGGACAGGGTCAAAAGAAAGAATAGAATAAATGGAAGGGCAGGATAGGATTAAGGGAAATAGAGTTAGTTTTTCACAGCATGTCTACTATGTAAGTGTTTTGCATAACTGCACATGTATAACCTATAATGAGTTACTTGCCTTTTCAGTGAGGATGGGTGAGGAGGGAGGAAGGAAGAAAATTTGGAACCCAAAGTTTTAAAAACACATGTTAAAAAAAAAAAGCCTTTGTATCCTCAGCAGCTAACCTAGTACTTTATAGACAGTAAGTGCTTAATAAATGTTTATTGAATTGAAAAAAAAAGAAACTTTAAAAAAAAAAAGAAATGATGAGCAGGTAGACTTCAAAAAAACTTGGAAAAACTTACAAAAAAACTTGGAAAAACTTACATGAACTGATGCAGAGTGAAATGAGCAGAACCAGGAGAACATTGTACACAGTAACAGCGACATTATGGGATGACTGACATTGATAGACTTGGCTCTTCACAGCAGTGCAAGAATCTAAAACAACTTGAAAAGACTCACAATGGAAATTGCTTTCCACACCCAGAGAAAGAAATATGGGGTCTGAATGCAGATGGAAGCATACTCTTTGGTCTCCTTTTCCTTTGTTGTTTTGTTTTATTGCTTCATTCTCGTGGTTCCTCCCATTAGTTCTAATTGTTCTTTACATCATGACTAATGGGAAAATAAGCTTAACATGAATATATATGTAGAGCTTATATCAGATTGTATGCCCTGGGACGAGGAAGAAGTGGGAGGGGGAGAAAATTTAAAACTCAAAATCTTTTGGAAGTGAATGTTGAAAACTAAAAATAAATTAATTTAAAAAATAAAAAAAATGATAGTTGACTGACTAAATCAGTCACACAGGTAGAAAGCACTTGAACCGAAACTTTTTCTTTCGAAGGCAATTAGGGTTAAGTGACTTGCTCAGGGTCACATAGCAAGTAAGAGAATAGAAATTTGAATCTAGATTCTCTTATACTAGGGGTAACTATTGTTTTTATTGTATCATACAATACAGGCACTAGGGGGTGCCACAGTGCACAAAGCACTGGACATGGAGTCAGGAAGGTCTAAGATCAAATACCTCAGACACCTCCTAGTTGGGCGACCTTGGGAAAGTCATTTCACCTTTGCCTATCTCAGTTTCCTCATATGTAAAATAGGGATAATAAATAGCATCTTCCTCCCTGGACTTAAATGAGATAATATTTGTAAAAAGTCTGCCCCATAGTAGGTGCTTCATAAATGCTTGTTTCCTTCCTTCCCATGTCTTCTCCAAGATGGGAAATTTAGACTACTCGATCTCTGAACTCTCTTCCAGTTCTAATAAACTCTGTGCTATAATAATAATAATAATAACAACCTATGACTCTAATAACCTATGTCCCAGAAAGAATCCTACATCTAGAGATTGCAGGGAACTTAGAGGTCACCTAGTCCAGGGGTGGGGAACCTGCAGTCTTGAGGCTACATGTGGCCTTCTAGGTCCTTGGGTGTGGCCTTTTGACTGAGTCCAAGTTTTACAGAAGAAATACTTTTATTAAGAGGATTTGTTCTGTGAAGTTTGGATTCAGTCAAAAGGCCACACTTCAGGACCTAGAAGGTGACATGTGGCCTCGAGACTGCAGATTCCCCACCCCTGACCTAGTCTAACCTCCTCATTTTACAGATTGATGGTTGGGAAGTCTACAATGCATTGCACATCTCAGACTTTTCTGATTTCTCCCCTCTTTTTCCTTTCTTTGCTTTCTTTGTTTCTTTTTTTTGTTGGCTAGGCAATGGGGTTAAGTGACTTGTCCAGAGTCACACAGCTAGTAAGTGTCAAGTGTCTGAGGCTGGATTTGAACTCAGGTCCTCATGACTCCAGGGCCAGTACTCTATCCACTACACTACCTAGCTGCCCCTTTTTCCCCTTTCTTTAAAAATGTTGTCATATGGGATGGCTCTATGGGAGGAAAGCTAAGTGATTTTCCCAATACCACACAAGTAGTGAGAGCTGAAATTCGAACCCAGTTCCTCTGACTCCAAGCCCAAAATTCTTTCTATTGCACCATGCTGCTGGGCTACCATACTCTCTCCTCACTTCTGCCCTAGAGAAACTCTGATTTCCATCCTAAGCTTCTGATACCAGCCCAGAGGCTACTTCTGATATCAACCCTGCCTTGTTCATTCAAGTTATTTATAATTTCTTCTTTGTAAAATGACTTTTCATTATTTTGCATGAAAATGCTTATTGATGTAGTGATGTAGCCTTTAATTTGCTTACATGTACACATACTGTGTCTCATCAGTTGACTCAAGCTCCTTTCATTTTTTAATCTTCATATTCCCTCGCATGAAATCATGGAAAGTGAAGTGAGCAGAACCAAGAGAATGTTGTATGTAGCAACAGCAATATTGTTCAAAGAAGAATTGTGAATGACTAAGTTATTATGAGTACTATAAATACTCAAATCAACTATAAAGGACTTGTGAGGGAAGATGCTATCCACTTCCAGAGAAAGAACTGACGTATAGAAGTATCCGTAGAATGGTTTCATAGATATTTATAAATCTGGATCAAATTCTGGGTGGCCTTCTCTAGTGCGAAGTGAAGGAGTGAGGGGGAACCTGGATGCTGGGATCTTATTATCTAATTGAGGGAGGAGCAGCTAAGCTTTCACACACAAGCGAATGCCCTTGCACCAACACATCAGGGCAAACATGCATGCAGAACATGCAGGCCTGAGTCAGGTGCCCACCTGAGAATCTGCCACTCAGCAAACCTCAGTCCTTGCTGGCTGTGTGAATTGTTTGGCTTTTTTGAACGGGCCATTCTGCTAGAGGAAAAGAAACCCTAAACTTCCAGACCATCACCCTGCTAAACAGAGCCCCACCACACAGCAAAGTAGAGCTTGGAGGATGAAAAATGAATGGGGTGTGTGTGTGTGTGTGACTTCCCATTTACCCCATAGGGTTTAGAGGACTTAGCATCATAGATTTAGATCAGGAGAGGACCTCAGAGGCTATCAGTCCAACCCCCTTATTTTTTCTGATGAGGAAACTGAGACCCAGGGAAGCAAAGGGACTTGTCCAAGGTCACATAGGCAGTAAGTCTGGACGTGAGATTTGAACCCAGTCCTCCAACTCTACAGCTAGCGCTCTTTCTGCTTCAGGAATGTGATCTCTAACAATTTAACCATTCTGGGGAGTTTAAAAAAAGAGGATTTGATCTGCATTTTTCTGTAGAATGTGCTTGACTAATTAATTGTTCCTGTAATATTAGGTCAATGAGAGCAAGCACTGTTATCCTCTGTTAACACTGTTAACTCTAATGGCTCCATACACATTTAATTGTGAAAAATAAGGAAAGAGTAGCTTGCGGTTTGGAGAAGGAGAGAGGTGCTTCTATCTTCCAAAGAAACAGGCCAAATGTTGTGGGTGTCCCCTAGATCTCCTGGTATGTTAAAGCTACTCCAGACTGCCGGTAGGGGAAGGAGGCTGGCATCGTTTTTTCTTGCTTCCCTCATTTGCTGTCCTTCGAACTCAAAGATGTTACGACTCCTTGGTCTAGTTTCATCTTGTCCAGGGAAGATGGCGGTTGTCAAAAGGATGGGCGAGATGGCTCACTGGAGGCGGGGAGGAGGAACTGGGATTGCGTGTTCGTGCCCGGACAGAGCAGACACTGGGTGTCTTATGTAAGACAAGGTGTAAGCACTGGTCATAGGGTGAGTCTTCGTAGGCTCTTGCCATTTCTTTGTGAGATTCTCAAAGAGGCCATAGTTGGTGGGGGGAGCTGCAACAGAAATCAGGGTCAGGATGTGAAATCATGAATGGAGAATTGGGCCCAACCCCAGGAGGGAGGGAAGGGATAGGGAGGTGGATGCTTTCTTGTAGTTTTCTCAGATTGGACTGAGACAAACTTGCTACTATTTCAAAGGAAGGAATTAGGTCTGGAAGGAAAGGAGGCGAAGGTAGGGCCAGGCTGGACTCCCCAAGAGTCTCCTCAGAGACTTCAGGACACATGAGCCCAAGGACCTAGGGCCTAGCCTTCCTGGTGGGAGGAAACATCAATAGCCTGATCTCTTGAATTCAATTCAGCAAACATTTCAGTGCCTACTGTGTGCAAGGCATTGGGCACTCCTGGCCACTTTCCAGAGATGCATCCATCCTGTTCTTGGCTAAGTTGTAACTGTCCTGTTAGGGAGGAGGAGCTAGTGTGGTAAGGGAAGGTCCTTGCATTTCTGTGTAAATTGTTCTAAGTCCTGATACACATTAACTGAATGGGAAATGATACTTCAATTGTTCACTGAATTGATTTTCACTGTGGAGAAGCTGGAGAAAGCTGTCCTTGGTCTATCGCTTCATGTAGGGGTAAAGTCATTTCCCTAGGCCTAGATACACTTCTGGAAGGCATTGTGAGGTGGATTCATGGGGTGGAGGTGGGTGGAGTGTGGCAAATAGAGCCCAGGGTCGGTATAGGAGCATAGATGAGTCCCTGTGGCAGCTGTGCCACAAATACTGTGCTTCTAGAGACAGCCAGTCAGCACTGTTCAATGTCGCCAGTATAATGCTTGTGACATGGGGCAGAGGGGCAAAGGGTATCCCTGAGAGGAGAGCACAATATACCAGTGCCTCATAATACTGTCCCAGAATCCTTGAATGTTATTTTATTATAAGTGAAACTATATTATGACTTAGTCAATTTCAGTAACTCCACTGGAGTCCGAGGCTGACCTACCTACACCAAATCGCATGTCATGGTAGGGAGCATTATATCAAGGTTTTAGGGTATTTTGGAACCTGTGGTGATCTGTATAGGGGGAAAATGTATTGAGAAAGTACCAAGAAGGGGAAAGTCCGACTTCTCTGGCAGCCACGCCAGTTTCTGCCCATTCCAGCTACGGATTGCTGGCAAGGCAGGGTTGTAGCCATGCCGGTTGAAATGGTCATCATATGTGCTGATCAAATTCCGATGTTTTGGTTCCTCATGATGGGTCATCAGGTTCTTATATGGCAGGCCCTGGAAGGACAGGCATATAAGGCATATCCAGGAATAAGGAATATCCAGGCATTTTTTGGGGGGGTACCAACTAAGGAATCCCAGACAAGTGATTCTGGAAGGGGAAGGGGAGAAAGTGTGGAGTTAGCAGCAAAATATAGGGATGTTGCCTTTAAGGATTAAACAACTCATGCAGCTTCTCCAACTAATTAGACCCCAAAGCAAGGAAAACTACACATTAATCTAATTGGTTAATTGGTTCATTTTCTAAAGTTTAGCCTAGTCACTCTCTAATACCATCAAATAAGCATTTTGTTCTTTGAGGGAAATTTTGATTTTCTTCTTATCTGTAGGTTAGACAGTATACTTCTAACATTATTGTCATTT